ACCCCGCACACACACTGCATCTGGGCCCTGGAGCTATTCTCTTGAGTTTCATTAGACTGGAACCCAAGTCTCTGGTATTGTCATTGCATTCTCAGGGTACTGTCTTTGTGTTTATAATGCATTCATTTTTGCAGAAAGCACCCCAACCATCACACGTGGGAATTAGGGGGATGGGTACTTCACAAAGGGACTTCCAAAGTCATTCAGTTCATTCCAACCTGACCTCCCAAGTCAAATCTCAGTATTTCCAAGAAAGTCTTCAAGCTATATTTCTGGCTTTGTTTTTTTTCTGGAACCCAGCTGACCCTTGGGAACCCAACTCACAGGATTTATTTTTACCCTTTAAAATTCAATCTCATATTAAACTTTTTCTAAGAATAATTTTGACCTAATGAAATAAGTATTCCACCTGATAATGTTATTTGACATAGGTGAGCAGCCATCTTGGCTTGCCATTCCCCCAGAAGCTGACCGAGACAGGGACTCTGCACAGGAATGTCATTTGGGGACATGATTCCAGGGAATGGAGTGGGACCTAAGCAGAGTGAAGCCAGGAAGGAGGGCACCTTACTAAGGGGGCTTCTGCCCTTGGTGATTTAGGGCTTTATCTTGCTAAGGACCCACTTAGGAAGGCCACAGAAGCAGCCTCGGATCGCCCTGCCCAGGCTGGGAAGGGACCTTTGCATTCTCTAGTTCTGACTCCCAGTGGTCAGGGGTGGCCCAAGACCATCAGCATTTACATGTGGGCTCCTGCAGCATCCCCCGGGGCGGGGTGGAAAACCAGATGAAGCTGATGCAAGACAGCTACACCTGTACACAGCTGGTTTCCATAGCAACAGCTGTAACAAAAAAATGGGTCAAGAGGCTGAGGCCAGGACCTGAAAGATGCTCCGCAAAGCTTATGGAGGCAGCTGTTAATTCTAGACTCCAATCCCCACAATCAAAGGAGCAGACAGAAAGGTGGTCACTGTCCTAAAGATTCCTGCTCAACTTGGTTTAGATTTGGTGCCTCTGTGTGGTCCACACTTCAGAGTCAGATGCCGAGCCACAAAGGGCAGGGCACCAGCATTCTCCCTAGAGAGACATACACCCCAGTAGCTCCTGACACCCTCCCTACCTGCAGACTGACTCTTAGGGGACACTTGCAGAACAGGGCTGACTCACAGAGCTCCCTTCCATGGCCAAGGTCAAGAACATAAGGCAGTGGGGGTGGAGGCAGGCCCAGAAACTGTGGGTCATGTAACGGCATAAACTGGCTATAAAACTGCAGCCATTTCCCAAGAGGCCATTTCATCATATGGGGTCAGGGTCCAGCTGCTCTGCCACACAAGGAAGTGAAGGGGTGAGTGAGGCCTCCAGAGGGTGAGGCCAAGGACATTGGGAAGTGCCCCTGGAGACACACACTGTGTATCCTGGAGGTGATGGTGACCCTTCCCAAGGCAGCCAGCCCCTGGATGAGGGCATAGGGGGGTAGGCAGGACCTGCCCTGCTCACCTCATGGAGAAGCTAGCAGCCCTGGGCCTGTCAGACTAGCCCCCAAGAGACAGCTTCTAGGTCTGCATGGCTTTTTCCAATGGAAACAACTGGAAGAGGGGATAAAATGAGGGATGGCTCCTCTTGTCTTGGGCAGTGGGTATCTGCTGGTTAGAGGACTAGACAACCAAACTGGCCTTACAAAACAACACAGCAGCAAACGGAATGAGGCATTTGAAGCCAAGTCAGGTTCTAGGCTACCCTAACGTGGAAGGGGCTGGACTTGGGCGAGACCTGATGTGTGGCCCTTTCCAGCCACTGGTGGGTTCTAGCCTTAGACACAACTTTCCTTGCTCTGGGTTTCAGGGCTCACAGCCTCAAACAAGGTGCCTTCCACACCCTCCTCCTGAGGGAGGTACCCGTGAGTTCTAGGCCAATCCAAGGGAGCGGAGAACAGGGAACAACACAGACACTTACAGACTAAGCAGTCACTTGCTCTGAAGGTCCTGCAAAGGGACACCCTCAGTCCAGCAGCTTTCAGAACAGGCCCACAGGGAGACCAGGTCAGCAGCACACTCATGTCCAGGGTCAACACTGCAGGCCCAGCAGCTCCACCCACTTCAGCTCCACCCAGGTCCAAAGGGTCCAGATTCGAGAAGGGGGAAGATCAGAGACCACTTCAGGGCACAGAAAGTACTCAGGAATAGGGTGGGGTGACATAATGGGGGCAGATAGGAGGGCCATGAAGCCACGAGGTCCACTGGGTCAAGTTACATAAAGTATAATCTGGAACTCCCCAGCCACAGGTGGAGCAGATTTGCCTCCAAACACTCCACGCACTGGCTCTCAGACACAGGGTCTTAGGTCCCAAGGCCTTGCCTTCCTCAAAGCACTTACAGTTGACCTCTGAAGAACACAGGTTTGAATTGTGCGGGTCCGCTTCACCACGGGGTCTTTTCAATAATTATGTACAACACTGTAAATGCATTTTCTCTCCCTTACAATTTTCTTGGTAACACTTTCTTTTCTCTAGCTGACTTTATCGTAAGAATAGAGTATATAATACATGTAACATACAGAATATGTGTTCATCGGCTCTTTGTGTTATTGGTAAGACTTCTGGGCAACAGAAGGCCATTAATGGTTAAGTTAGGGGGAGTCAAAAGTTATATGCAAATATTTGACTGCGTGGGGCTCAGTGGCCCTAACTCCACGCTGTTCAAGGGTCAAACCGTAGTTGTCATCCGTAGTATGACTCTGCATAATCAGGATCACCCCAGAGCATGGAGGTGGAGGCACAAGTTGCTTTCATTTCCCCTTCTCTCTGGTAGACAAAAACCATCTCTCTGACCCACGTCACTGGCTTTGAGCCCGGGCTCACCTCTGTTAATAGGGAAACTGTATGCTGGAGGTGTCATGGTTACCAGACATTTGTGTGAGTGGATTTTCCTGGCACAGCAGGCAGTGCTGTTTAAATCAGGATATCAGGTTCAGAAAGGACAAAATTGTACTTTTAAGAAACCAACCTAACAGCCTGGGAAAAGGGAAAACCATGGCTTACACCACCCAGATTACAACATACCCAACCCAGAACTTCCCTGATGCCTCCGCCAGGTACGATGCCTCAAGGGCACCAGGAAACATCCAACGGGGAGATACTGTTGAGAAGGGTTTTATGAGGACACCTCAGAGCCTCAGGTGAAAATCTGCAGCAGTGACTCCAAGTTCAGCACTGCAGGTTAACCCAGGGCTGTCCGTGCCCTCCCAGCCCTAGGGCAGCCGCGTTGAATGTTCGAGGGCAACAGCTCAAGCCACATCCAGCAGAGAAATCCCCTCCATCTCCACCGGTTGGCTCACACAGCTGAGCGGCCTGAAGCTTCCCCAGAACTGACCTGGTTTCCTGATTGGAAGTGAGACCCACATGAGGTCACGGTCAGAAATCCATGAGCAGACTTGGATCTGAGGACCAAGCCCCCTAATGAGAGAGAGCCCAGGCTGGCATTTGAAGTCCACTTGGAACAGAGCCCAGAGCGAAGCCTACTTTTAGGGCAACAATAAAGGGTGAAATGCTTAAGTGCCATTCATGGGGCATGTTCCATCCCTGGGCAATTCCCCGGTCAGGGACACTTGCTGGGGGTGCTCAGAGCAGATGGGCAAGAGAATCAAAGAACATTCAGGAGGAAAGGTCCTTGAGAATGCGTTCAGCCAGCCGTGCCTTCAAGCATGAAGTAATTTCATAGGACACTTTTCCCCTCCATATATGTTGTTCAAAGACAAGCTCCTGGGTCTCCCTGGGTAGCGTTTGCTAGTTGTGTCACTACAAAGATGCACTTTACAGAAAATTAATACAACTTCTGCCCACACAATGGCAAATTAAACCAAATCGATGAAAAGTAATGAATCAGTCAAACTGATCCATTTTCACTTTTCAACCGGCTACAGTTGTGAAAATGAAGTATGAGACCTTGAGATCATCTGTAGAAACAGGGCACCTTAACTGAGGAGCTCCAGTCACACACGGAGGCTGTGGCCACATTTCACCTTCCAGATCAGGCTCACTCACCTGGAGAAGGTGCACCGCACAGGAGCAGAGGAGGCAGCCTGGAAGGACCCAGAAACAGAGATCACAGGCACTCAAAAGAACTACTGAACACCCCCCACAAAAAAAACCCCTACTCACAAAATATTGTTTTCTCACTAGCATTCTGCCTCATTTTGCTTTCTGTTATGGGCTGAATGCTTGTGTCCCCCCATAATCCATATGAAGCCCTAGCCCCCAATGCGATGGTATTTGGAAGTGGGGCCTTAGGGAGGTCATGAGGGTAGAATTAGTGCCCTTATAAGAGAAGAAAGACCAGAGCTCTCTCTCTACCACGTGAGGACACGTCAAGAAGGAGGCCTCCAGAAATGTGGGAAATAAATGTCTGCTGTTTAAGCCACCCGGTCTGTATTTTGTAATAACGGACTGAGCTGGCTGAGACACCCCTTTCCCAAACAGAGAGCCCATGTCTGGCCTACATGCTCTCAATTAGATTTCTAACAAAACGAAACCTATTGTGTCACAGCTTCCCTGCCTTAGTATCTTCTAATAACAAAACCATGCACCCACCAACCAGCAGAAAAGGGGTTTCTGATGCAGAAACCGCCTGGGTGACCCAAGCTGACATTAGCAGAAAAAGAGCTTTTAGTTTTGCTTCTATTATTGGAATTCATGTCAAGACAACTAGGCGGATGCGAATATGCTGGAATTTGTAAGGATCCAATGCAGCTTTTAAAGACAGAAGTTCCTTAAGCTCACAGCCATCTCTCTGGAGCCCCCAGCAAGGGGTCCACCAGGGACACAAAATAAAGTCTAAATCAATGCAGCCTCCACACCAAAGTTCTTCTGAAGATCCTTTAATAATATGTATAGTTCACGCTTCTACAACCAATATAAAAACAGTGATTCCTGATTTTGTATAAATTAACAAGTCAAGAATCTTTATGAGCCATCAAGATACAAGTTCCAAATGAAAGGACCAAAGATAAATCACAGTGAAGAGAAACATCTGAGAACAACGAACATAAAAGTCGTACAGGTGCTCAGACAGGTGCACACACCCCCCAAGGCAACCTTCAATCACAGGCTAGGTTTTCAGAAAAGGATCAGCTAGGGACAACAGTCTCCAGGAACCCTGATCCTGCAGCTCCCACCTCCCAACACAGTGATGCAGGCAGAGGCCATGATTCCCATTGGCCTCCTCTTAATAACTAGCTGTCATTTCCACTCGGATCTTCTCCTCCGTGTGCAATTATACAAAGCAACTCCTTGACTTTCTATGCTCCTGACTACAGCTCGCTCGTCACACTCCTTGCCAACTGTGTAAACTGGGGGTCAGGGGACCTCTGAGAGTCAGGCACAGCACCCAGATTTGGTCCGCTTGGGCGGCTTATAAGGGGAGATATCCACGGTCTGCGGCGGCCCCTGGGCTCTCTGCCGCAAGATCATGGGCACCACCATGTCGAACAAGGTTTCAAACAGCAGGTCCACGTTGTGGCCAGTTTTGGCGCTGGTCTCGAAGCACATCTGCTCAGCAGCAGGCATGTCCTTCTCATCCAGCATCTTGTACTTCAGGATCCTTTTATAAAGAGCCACTGCCTCCTCCAGCCGCACCTGCCTGGGCGCCTTGGGTGACGCAAAGCCGTGGCCACCGCCTGGTCCGGAGCTGTGACCCTCCTTCTCGCAGCTCTCCGAGGCTCCCTCCTCACTAAGGTCCACCTTGTTCCCCACGATGGCAAAGAGGCAGTCGCTGCTGGCTGAATCGGTCAGGCCCAGGAATCTCTCCTCCAGCTCCACCAGGCTCTGCGGGTGGTTCACATCGTAGGTGAGGATGACAGCTGCCGCCCCCCGGCAGTACATGGAGCCAAGGCCGTGGAACTGCTCCCGCCCTGTGGGGGAAAAGGAAAGAAAGATGCGGGTTCGCTCTCCTCTCAGACGCACCCACCAACCACGCCACACGGGAACCCCCCGGGCGGACCATGGAAGTGTCACCCAAACGAAGGTGTGGCTGGAGCTGGGCTGGATCAAGACACTGGTGCACAGAAAGAAGTAACCAGCCTAGGCCCCGCAGCATCTAACGGCAGTGCCTGCTCCTCTGGGGGGCTGCAAGCCCACCCCACCACAAGCAATTCCTACACAACCCAGTCACGCACAGTAGTTAACCTCCAAGACCAAGAAGACACCCGTGCCCTACTTTCCTTCTAATTAAAGATTGTTTGGCCTGTTCCTATTTTTGCATGCTCCTACCATGGCTGGGTCTTGATGCTTGACAACAGTCTGCGCCACATCTCAGCATCACGGCTGTTCTGACAGGGCCCTAGCAAGTCTGCCTCCGCACAGGTCCATGCACTGCCCAGTGCCCAGCTCCTGTCCAGCTGCCTGGGTGCAGGCCACTGGTCAATTCACTTGACCACGTGTCACTTTCCAGGGGGTCCCTGACCCCCTTCCAGATTACTTTTAAGCCTCTGGTCAGTCCCATCACCACCCTCCCTCCCACTCCTCACACTTGCTCTGTGCTCTGGCTCAGACACTTAGCACAATCGCAAGTCCACGCCTTGGTTATGCAGTTAATACATGTCTCTCTACAGTAGGAAAGGCTGGTTTTACTTGTCCCATGTATTCAGTGGTAATAAATGTGTTGAGTAAGTGAAACCACAAATTATCCCCACTATTTTAAAAAAAACAAACACAATTTTGTCTTGCATAAGATTTCTTAGTTTGTTTTGTAACAATTTGGTCTGATTTGCAAAATGGTTGAAGGCTCATTCATGTCAGAAGCTTCATTTACACCCTGCAGCCAGCTTCTCAGCCTCTCGACTCCCCACCTTTACTCTGAACTGAAGATTGAGGGAAAGAGGAAAGAGGAGGGGGCGGGAGGACTCACCTTGATGTGTTAAACCCACAAAGATCTGAAATTTCGTCACACTTGAATACTTTTATCCCCCCAAACCTCCATCGAAAGGACAGCTAAACAACAGAACCATCATCATTCGGAGCTGCCTGAAATCTAGCTGAATGAAAGTCCTACAACTAAGAATTTAAAGACGCCACGTGGAGACTGGTTGTTTTCAGCTGCACGTATAGAACAGTGGTTGAGAGCACGCATGGGTCCTGGAACCAGAAGGCCTGGAGCTGTGAACCTGGACAAGTTACTTAACCACCCAGGGTTTAGTTTTCTCTTCTGCGAAATGGAACAGACAATAATAGTACCTCACAGAGTTATGATTAAAAGTATTAATATATGTAAAACAACAACAAAAACATTAGAAAACCTGCTAAAAGGTGCAGATCCCAGGTAAGCGGCAAGCCCAGTGGCCCCCTTTCATTGGGGTTGGTCTCCAGAGGCCAAGTTTGACCAGTGTTTGTGTCCCTAAGTTTTTACACATGGCCCCTTCATTTCCCCTTCTCCTGTTCACTGTGTAGGAGATGGTTTTACTGACTCCACGAAAGGCAATTCATACACTTAAAACGGGGCCCCCTCCCAAAGCCGCCCCAGGCCCCAGGATTAATCAGCCCTCCTTCTGCCATCCAATTCCGTACCCCTCAATGGCAGGAGGAACAACCATCCTGGACCCAAGCTGTCTGGGCACATCCATGCTCCTAGGAGGAGCTTGGGAGGGGCCTTGTGCATTCACAGTTCTAAGCTTGCTTCTTACACTCACACGGTCCCTTGGAGAGTTAGCTATATTTCTAGGGCATCTTCGACAGCTTCACCCTGACTGGAATCAGAATCTGTTTCTGAGGACATTCTGTGACTCCGCCTGCAGTTTTCCAGTTTGGGCTACAGAGCCCAGCTGCTGACTACAGTGGAAACAGAGCCCAGAGGCCCATGACCTTGAAAGGGGAAAGAAGGCAATCTTTATTCTCAACATCCTCTAACTGAGATTGAGCATTTCCTTCTCTTATACATGTTGGCAACAAACCAGAAATGATATGAAGGAGCAACACCTGTGGCTTTGTCACCTTTAGAAATAACAGAGGCTTTCAATTCACATCACAGTTGTCACTGTGTCATCAAGCATTTATGCAGATCACAACTTAAACATCACAACAGCTGTTAGACCTGCCCTTTGTCAAGGAAGCCTGGTTCCCTGATGAAACTCTGTATTTTAGCGCATGAATTTAAACAGAGCATTCAGCCCTAGCTGGGTTGGCTCAGTGGTTGGAGCATCAGCCCATGGACTGAAGGGACTTGGGTTCGATTCCGGCCAAGGGCACATACCTCGGTTGCAGGCTCAATCCTCAGCCTGGGTCGGGGCATGTGCAGGAGGCAACCAATCAATGTTTCACTCTCTCCCTTCCCCTCTATCTGAAAAGCAATGGAAAAAATATTCTCAGGTGAGGGTTAAAAATAAATAAATACATAGAGCACTCTGGGGGCACCAATGGGGGGAAAAAAGAGAAAGATCATGAGCTCATACCACTAGGGCACAAAAGGATCCCTGACACAAAAGACCTGAAGACCCCTTGGTCTCTGGGTCTTTGGAACATGGATTAAAGGCATGATACCTATACACATATATTTGTATAAAACACAGTGTCCTTTGCTTTTCTAATAAACTACTATCTTCAGCCAACTGGCCAAGAAACACAAACAAGTTCCACTCCAATCATTCTGACATGGCCACATTCTGACACAGGCCAAGTGGCACTGCCTCATTAGGGGGCAGGCTGGCAGCCCCCGTGGCCAGCCCTGGAAAGAGCCACCTGCTGAGAAAGACGCCCATGTCCTGGGAGAAGGGCCCTAGCATGCACCTATACCTGATAGCTGACCTCTCCCTCATCCAGACACAGACTCAAAGCCAGGGCTCCCTGCCTCTCCAAAAAAGCTCCAAGTGTGTCCTCAAACCATCTGATGGTGGAGGTGAGACGGAGGAACAGAGGCCCGGACAGGTTTGGCACTAGTTGGAGGTATGCATCCTGCCCAGCAGAGATCCTGAAGGTGAAAGTCAAGGGCCAGTTTACAACCACCATGCTCACTGTCCCGGGTGCTGGGAAGGGTCAGCCTGCTGACAAGCAGAACATCCTCTGGAATTCATCACCCGCAAAACAAAATTCCTCTCCTTTAACACAGCCATAGCAGGTCAGCCCTAAGCCTGCTAATCTAATTATAAGTTGCATGTCAAATTACACTGTACGCCAACAGACAGAAATTAAACAGTCTTCTCCCATCTCTTCAAGGACCCCCATGGCAGAAGACGATGAAGACATTTCCATACGTGGCAATAACAAGTGTTAGTTAAAAAGAAAAGAAATGCTTCCCCGTCATTACCACAGAGCTGGGAATTTTCTTTCAGGCACTAATTGAATATATAGCAATCTGGGCATCCTAAGGTTTTCCAACAGCTAAAAATGTTATCAGCTCCCACCCACTAGATTTCACAAGAGTGATCAAGGGGGGAAAAGTGGCATTCCAGCTATCCCAGGAGGATTTTTCCAAGTCCATTACATAGTTTACTGAGGACAAAAAGGCAACTGTGTTAGTGCCTATGCCTAAAATAGTTTTCCTTTCCAGATAAAAATGTCTGATTTGCCTTCAAAAAACTAAAGAGCAAGTAATAATAAAACCCAAAGAGAAATCATAATAACTAAAGGAAGTAAGAGCTGAAGAGTCCCATATTATAGCCGGAAAAGAGAGTTAGTAAAAGTTGCTGCTTAAATCACATAATCTGTTATCCACCCATAACCAATACAGGAGAAACTGAGGCACAGGGAGCGGCCCACAGAATCAGGTTGGTGAAGCCCAGAGCCAGGACACTGTCCCCAGGTACCAGGTAGTCTGTGGTCTAACAACCCATAAAGAGCCAACTCTAGAGATGGACTTCCTGCATCCAAATCCCCACAGTGTGACCTTGGGCAAATCACTTAACTCTCTGTGCCTCAGCTTCTCATCACCAAAATGTAGACAGTACCCACCAAAGGATGGTTGTGAAACCAGAACTAATTTCTATAGGTAAACTGCCTAGAACTGTGCCTGGCAGGTGGTACACCCAATATGCATGTTTGTTAAATAAATCACGAATTAGATTCCGTCCAAACCTAAGGATATACTCCACCATCCCAGGACCACCGTATCCTGTGTCTCTTCATCAGCACATTTGCAAACTGTCTCCTAGGGCCTTTTGGTCACTTTTACAGCTGACCACTCTCCTATAGCTTCCTTATTTTTATGAGACTTGGTTTCAAAGAATGACCTTCTTCCCAATTCCCAGGGCACTTTATTGGGTGGCTGCCGTACAGAAGTCCGCAGCCCACAGTAACCCCAATCGGCTGCTGGACAAGTGAAGACAAAGTGTCCACTCGCCTTCTCTTTTATTCTCTCCCCATCCTCAAAACAAAAGACAACCAGCCTTTCACATGGAGCATTGTAACATTTTTGTTGCAACGATTTAAAATAACTGAATGGGTGGTACAGCCATCAGAAATCTTGTTTACGACACTGGCTGCACATTCTAAATATGGGGGGGTACTTTTTAAAAATATTGATGCCTGGACCCCCTATCCCAGAGCCCACTAATCAGGTTCTGACGAGAGCATGGGTATCAGAATCATTTTTTAAAACCCCTGGTGAATAGAAGGTGCAGCCAGAGGTGAAGATCACAACTTGGACAGTGAAAGTGGGAGAATCACAAAAAGACAGCTTCACAATGGGAGGATCGGAATGTTTCTTATTTCAATTAAGTTGAAAAGTAAGGTCTACCAGGAAATGTAACTGCAAACTCTGAAAGAAAGAGGAACTTTCAAAACGCCCTGCAAAACCCAGAACATTCACTGGACGGGAGCTCACAAAAGTATCAATGTCAAAACATGAGGAAAGAAAAGACTAAGATTCACAGAAGCAGAGCTGGGAACAAGTGGAAACTTCAGGGCACACACAGAAACAGGGTCA